TGCTCTCCCCGGTGCCCGCCAGCATCTGGGGGCCATCCTGGCCAGCGCCAGCGTGGTGGTGAAGGCGCTGTGCGCCGTGGTACTGTTCCTCTATCTCCTTTCCTTCGCCGTGGACACGGACTGCCTGGCGGTCACCCCGGGCTACCTATTTCCACCCAACTTCTGGATCTGGACCCTGGCCACCCATGGGCTGATGGAACAGCACGTGTGGGACGTGGCCATCAGTCTGGCCACAGTAGTGGTGGCCGGGCGATTACTAGAGCCCCTCTGGGGAGCCTTGGAGCTGCTCATCTTCTTCTCTGTGGTGAATGTGTCCGTGGGGCTTCTGGGGGCCTTCGCCTACCTCCTCACCTACATGGCTTCTTTCAACTTGGTCTACCTGTTCACTATTCGTATCCATGGCGCCCTGGGTTTCCTAGGTGGTGTCCTGGTGGCACTCAAGCAAACTATGGGAGACTGTGTGGTCCTGCGAGTGCCCCAGGTCCGCGTCAGCGTAGTTCCCATGCTGTTGCTGGCTTTGCTGCTGCTGCTCCGGTTGGCCACGCTGCTCCAGAGCCCGGCCCTGGCTTCCTACGGCTTTGGACTGCTGTCCAGTTGGGTGTATCTTCGCTTCTATCAGCGCCATAGCCGGGGCCGAGGGGACATGGCTGACCATTTTGCTTTTGCCACCTTCTTCCCGGAGATCCTGCAGCCTGTGGTGGGGCTGCTAGCGAACCTGGTGCATGGCCTCCTGGTGAAAGTCAAGATATGCCAGAAGACCGTAAAGCGCTATGATGTGGGAGCCCCATCATCCATCACTATCAGCCTCCCAGGCACAGACCCTCAAGACGCCGAGCGGAGAAGGTAACTGGGAATCTTCCAGAATCTTGACTAGCTAGACTTGGTCACAGGCCATCTATTGAGGAGCTTGCTCTATATAGGCAGGAGAACTACAGCCTGGAGTTGGGGGCAGCCTCCGAACGGATTCAGGATTGGGCCTTGAGGAAGGAACTCAGTGTGTAGGCTTCTGGGCTCTGGTGTGTGTTTCTCACCACTTGGCCACTTAACCAGTTTACAGACTGCCCAGTCACCTTTGGTCTGGCCTCAGAATTTCCAGATTCGAGACACTGGTCCTGTAGGAGACAGAGACTGTTGGTCCCTTTCTCCTGTGATGGAGAGGGGAACAATGTCTGTGTCCTTAAGTGTTTCCTTCCACTTAATGCAGGATGCTTGGGGTATTACTAAACTTAATCCTCTTTCAGGCATGTGTCACCACACATAGGGGACAGGCTGAATGACCCACTGTGGGCACCTACTGACCACAGCAGGCAGGTCTGAGACCTACAACCCAGGGTGTCTACAGCATCAGTAATTTCACTGGACACTGTAGTCAAGGCAGGAGAAAGCTTTTACTTCCTCAGACCTGTGGACTCTTTATAGTGTCCAGTGTTATTTTTGAGACTTTTCAGGCCATCTCTCCCAAGCCTGCTGCTCAGCCTTTGTCAGAGGTTCCTGCCTTTGCTCACCTGCGAGGCGGGTTCCTGACCTCAGTGGAGGAATGCTCTCGGGCTTATTCACTCCTGCTGCTGCTGCTGCTGCGGTGTAGACGAGTGTAGAACACATCTTCCTTGAGGGAGTTACCAGCAGTAGGTGAGGAAACACACCCGGGCATGCTGCAGGCCTAATTCTGGGCCCTACAGCTCAAAGGTTTTTGGGGGTGTCCTAACGACAATTCCATCTTGACCTCATTTAATAGAGGAAGGCTGAACTTTCCAGCTGTTTGAATGGGATTGGACCAGAGGTTACCCTTGCCCCAGTAAGAGGTCTTGAATTGCTGTGATTGACTGGTCATTCAAAAAACCACTGTCTAGGATCAAGAAAATGGACAGAAAAGGGAGAGTGGCGATTGGGGCAAGAGACGGGTTCCTGGCATAGTCTGATAGTTCTTGGCTTACGTGGAGTGGGCATTACTCTTACAAACAATTTGTCCTCTGACTGTATGCCACTCTCAGACCCAGAGGACTACAAGCAGGAAGTAGGAAATTGACTACCGGCAAGGACATCTCCTAGAGTAGTCTGGGGAGTGACAGAGAAGGTGTGTTACTGGGCCAGGTTGGAGTGTGTTGGGTTTTTAATGCCCTTGTCCCTGTTGCTTTTCCTATCTTTTTCCTTGGCATGGTAGACTCTTTGATCTTGGAAGCCTTTAGTGGTAAATAGGCTGAGCCACCGGGGTCCACAGTGACCAGCTACAAGTGCCCACTTGACCTTCTGGGGCCAGACTGCTGAAGACTTGGGACCTTGTTCTTCACTGAGGCTGTGTTGCTCAGTGAGTAGGGCACATCTTCCTTGAAGGAGTTCCCTGCTGGTGTCCAAGGTGTGGAAAAGCACCCAAAGCATGCTGCAGGCTAGTTCTGGGCCCTACAGCTTGAGTCTTTCTGGGTATCTACATAAAATTCCCAGGTGTATTTTCTCACCAAGTCTGCCCCCTGACAATAGGGTGTGCTCTGTGCATGCCCACGTGGGCTATTTCTCTTCTACCTGGGCTCTGCTAAGACTTGGGTGGCTTTGGGAAGCTTCTTAGGAAGATTATCATAGTTAGGAAGGGTGAAATGATTGAAGTTGATGCTGCTTCATTAACCCCTTCCCTAGCTGAGCCTGGTGAGACAGGCCCATAATCCCCTCTGCTCAGGAGGCTGGGACAGGAGGATCATGAGTTCAAGGTCTGCCTGGGCTATAAGAGCTAGCTTGAAGCCAGCATGGAGGGTTTTATTAACAAGACTTGCCTTAAAAAAATGATTCGTTAAAAAAAAAAAAAAAGATTTGTTTGTTTTAAGTGCTGGGAATATAGCTCTGTGGTAGAGTGCTAGCCCTAGGTTTAATCCATAATAGCACACAAATGAAGGACCCTGTCTCTGGATATGACACCTGTGCACAGGCAGGAGTTCATCCCTAGGGACTAAGACATTCCACCTGTCTGCCCTGAGGCACTAGATCCATCTCCAGCCAACAAACTCCGGAAGCAGGCCTGTGAGGTGGACTGCAGCCTTCGACTAGAGGTCTGTCGAGGACTAGGAAGCTCCACATTCTAATTGGCAAAGCAGATCCTGGGCCAGTCTCCTGGACCCTGCATGAGGAAGGGAAACCATGGGACCAGTCTGGGAACCAATCTCTGGTGGGAGGAGTTGGCCTTCTGAGGAAGATTGAAGAGTGTGTGCCTCTCCCGAGACCAATATGACCTGTCTTCTCTTTTCTGGCTTTAGGCAACTGGCCCTAAAGGCTCTCAATGAGCGGCTGAAGAAAGTGGAGGATCAGTCTGTCTGGCCCAGCATGGATGATGATGAAGAGGAGGCTGGGGCAAAAAAGGACAGTCCTCTGCCCTCAGAAAAAGCTTCCACACCCACAGGGAAGGGGACTGCCCCAGAATCCAGTCTCATTACCTTTGAGGCATCTCCTCCAAAACTGTAACTCCAGACCACTGAGTGTAGCTCCTCTGCCCCCACGCCCTCCCTGATGTGTCTCAGCTACTCCAGGGCACTGACTGCTCTGAGGAGGGGGAGGAGGGCCTTCTGGGGGTCTCTTTGGCCTTCTGCTGTTTCTCAGCAACACTACATGGGACCCTTGCTACCTGGTTCCAACTCCAGACAACCACAGTGCCAGGTATGGGGCCTCTGAGCATCAGCCAGTCCAGACCCCCATTTGTGGTAAGACTGTACCTCAGCAGGTACAGTTCCTCACCAAGGCAGTGGCTGCAGGGGCACCGGTGTTGCAGCTCCTGGGCCAGCCGTCACATTGGAAACTGGTTGCCAACAGCCCTGAGCCAAGGCAAGGATTTGAATTTGCCAAAAATGTCCTGGGGGCCCAACCAGTATGGGTCTGTACATCTCTGCCCGCCCCCAGACTGCATTCATGTCAGGGTTTCTTGTGCCCTTCTGCTGTGGCAGTGACTGTCTAGCCAGAGCCACCACAGCTCCCAGGTATTTTCTACAGGACCACCTGAGCGGGCAGCCAAGCCCAGCCTCACAGTATCAATAAAGCGGTTCTTTGAGGTGTGGCTCCCTGGCTCCGTTAGGCCACCTTGTGCAGCCCTCTCGTCCTTACCAAATGCAAAATTAAATGTGTTTTCTGGGTCCTAGGGCTCAGTTCCATGGCAACTCCACCTCACTAAGAATTCCATTGCCCCACCTCTTCTCTACTACATGCCTGCTACTAAGCAATCTGGTCAGAGCTATTACCTCAGTCCCTTACTCCTTTTTATCTCCTCAGTCTATTAGGAAGGCCCTGTGCAAGAGGACCTGACAGCTGAAGTCCTCTCCATCTTAAGGAGTTATCTTAGGCAGGGCAAAGTGGCAAATGCCTATAATCCCTATCTCAAAGAAAAACCTGTGGCTGAAGGTGGAGCTCAGTCGCTAGGAGCACTTGTTTAGTGTTTACAGAGCTCTGGTTTGAGTCCCAGCACTGCGTAAGAGGGGCATGGTACATATACACATGGTATATATGGTCACACTGTTATCCCAGTGCTCAGAAGTGGAGGCAGAGGATCTGAGATTGAGCTATCATCCTTGGCCACACAGCAGGTTCAAAGCCCACACGGGAGATGTGAAACTGTCTGAAATCAAAAGGAAAGTTTTTCTTGTTTATGATTCAACTTTCTTTTTCGAGAAAGGGTCTTACTATTATAGCTTTGGCTTCGTTGACCAGGCTGGTCTTGAACTCACAGAGATCCACCTGCGACCATAACTAACCTTGGTTCAGGTCGAAGTTGTGCCCTGTGCAGGAAACCTGTGGAAACAGTCCTTCTCCCTCCCGCCACTGAGCTAACCATGTTCCCAGACTCCAGGACTTCGCTGGAAACAGCTGTGCTGTCCACATGCCACCTACTAATGCACTGGGTGTAGCAGAAAGCTTAGAGGCAGGATTCTGGGAGAACGCCACCCAGGGGTCCCAGCGGCACTGCTCCTCCCATAGTCTTTCCAGTTTTTTTATTTTCAGTTTTCTGTTTATTTTATTTTTTTCATTCATGATTCTGGACATACCAATACAAATCTAAGCTGTATGGCTGGGGAGTCAGTGTTGCAACCCCAACTTCATCAGACACATGATTTGGGCTCCCCTGAGCTGATAGCAAGAAAAGAAAAGGGAGGGCACTCCATCACGAGGAGCAGAAATGTCAACCAATCTACCTGAGTGCCCTAGTACCTGAATGTTCCCTGACAGGGTCAAGCAGGTTTATAGCCCCAGGTCCTATGCTGAGGTGCAAATCCAGGCTTCCTGGTATCTGGGAAGGTCATGGTTGGATCCTCTTGCGGTACAGGTAGGCATTGCTCACTTGGTTCATTATTACCAAGCTGGTAAGGACAGGGCACAGCAGAGCCAGGTACCAAGCACCACCAGTGACAGTACCAGTGAACCAGGATGAGTACATACCCAGCAGGAGGCTGGCACTACCCAGCAGGTAGCCCACCAACCCTGAAGTGGCATGGTAGAGTTTCAGCTTTGCCAGGGGCCATCGGGGCAGCAACTTGGGGTAGAGCAGCCCCACGCCCCCTGAACACTGCAGACCTGCCCACAGCACAGCTAACAGCCCTGCCTGCCCATGTCGGGTGGCCAGGTGTGCTTTTCCAAGCTGCTCTTTGTGGAGGATGACAAGCCCTAGACCCAACAGAGCACAGAGTAGGGCTAGCAGCTGAAGCACCCAGTGGCAGCGTGCTCGAACCTTCCGTGAGAGGGAACGCAGCAGTGAACTCTCCGGAGAAAACATCAGGAGTGCCTCGGTCATCAGGAAGGAGAACTAAGGAGACAAAGACTCAAATGAGAGTGCTGTATGCACCTTAGATAACCCTCCACTCAGGTGCACTCTGCCCCATCTTCCTTCATTCCCTTCCCCAAGGACAAGATGCTGCATTTGGTGAAACGGTGGAAGGCCCTGTGTGTGGGGCAAAATGTCTGCCCTGAGTAGTTAGGGACGGCTGCCTCTCCAGACTTCTCCCTAGGTACTTTTCTGAAATGTCAACTCTGCTAAGTTACCCAGCAAACAAGGTTTGAGACGTGGCAGTAATAAATGATTCACAAGCTTTGTTTGCCTCCCATGAGGCTGGATACAATTTCTCGGCAAGAGCTGTCCACATGGGTGCCCTGTTTCAGGGAAAATTAGATACATCACCATAAACTAAGGTTTTTAGGGACAGAGCAATCTCCAAATGTAATTTTTCAGCTTCCTGGCTGGAGATGAGAGAAGCCTCATTTTGTGCTTGGGTGAGCGTCCCCTATTTGTCCTGGTCTTGAACACCATCTTTCAACCCTTGGATATATGTCACAGGCAGTAGTTGGAACACACAACTCCTAAGCTGGCACTAGATGCCCTCAAGGATTCTGAGAGTCACCACCTATGCCCACACTCTACCCCTAAAAGTTACCCAGATCTACTACTTACAGCCAGAGACATAAGAACAGGGTGCCAGGAGAACAAACCTGGAATGAGAAGAGGAAGCCTCATGGAGCAGAGGGAAAAAAGAAACCAGCATGTCCAACCCTACAGCCTGAACGTGAACAGCCCACATTCACCTAAAGAGGTGCCAAAATGCGAATCCCTTTGTAACAAGCTCATCTTAGCCACCCACCCCTACTCACTTCCTGGGGCAGAGAGCATGCTCTGCCACTCCTCTGGCAGCTCCTTCTTCCAGCAGCTCCATGAGTCAGGAAAGAAATGCCAAGTCAAAAAGAAACCATGTACTCTCTGAAGCTTGGCCAGGCTGGCAGAGCCCCTGCACCGATCTACTCTCCCCAGGACGTAATATTCCTCAGCCAGCCAAGACTGTCCCCACGAGTTAAGCCCTTCACTTCCTATTGCCCCTATTCCCCAAGAAAAGTGGCTTTTCACTTCCCATAAGTCAACTATGAGTTCTATCTACTTACTGGAGCCAGGTTTGGCAAGTACAGTCACAAAGATGGTAAAGCCCAAGGCCACAAGGTGGGCTGCAGCCCCAGAGGCAGTGCGCAGAGCTCGGTAGATGTGCGACTCCGTCTCCACAGAAAGGGCCATGGTCAGCCCAGCTGATAGCTGTACAGCCTGAAAGCATCGTAGGCGTTGGCAAGTGTGCCCACTGTCCAAGCCTCACTGAGGACAGTAATTTGGGACAGGAATGCCACTTTTTTTCCGGAGAAGTTAGGACAGGAGAAGAACAAAGTAGGCCCCAAGAACAGTCCCAACTTAACAAAGTCTACCTGTCAAACACCTGTATTTGAAGTGGTACTGATCGCATCGTAAAGGTGGGAATGCGTGAGGACAAGTAAAACTACAAATCCCAAAATGCAGCACATCATCACTAGCCGGAACGGAAGGCGCGGAGCACTACGGGAATTGTAGTTCCCAGTCGCTTTCCAGTTAAGCGTGAGTCTCTTTGCACATTGCCTCCCCACGTGCACCTAGCACGCTGTACCTCCACGGTAGGAATTTTCCTTTCTCACCTGTTTCTCAGGTTCGACGCAGTGACTTCCTCCAAAATAAACCGGACCCCCGGGCCCGCCGGCCGCGCCACCGCTCCTTTACGGAGGCACTTCACTTCCGGGTGCGTTGTCCACCCACCCAAGACTTCCTGGGACAAGCCCCCTCCCAGCCCATCCAGCGCCAGCCCCGCCTCCGAGGCGCGCTGCGCAGGCGCTGTTGAGTTGACGGAGCTTTTGGTTGGCGTTCACTAACCTGTGTAACCTAGCTCAGGCCTCTTTCTCTTTTTGACAGGTGTTCCCAGGGGTGGAGGCGACCACCACACGAAAGACAAGTGACTACAGACTCAGGACCAGTCAGCGCCATGGGCAGCAGCTGCCGCATCGAATGCATATTCTTCAGCGAATTCCACCCAACGCTAGGACCCAAAATTACCTATCAGGTGCCTTTCACACTCCCGGGACCGGACGAGGAGAGGGATGCTCTTCGGAGCTCACCAGGCTGCCTGGAGGGATTGTGGGTCCCTGTGCTACCTCCAGGCTTATCACTCCATTCCTTGAATGGAGAGGATACACAGACCCAGGTCTTTGGTTTCTAGTAGGGGAGGGAGATTTGCCACACAAGCGGATTTTGTGGCAAATCAGGCTATAGGATTCAGGGAGGTGATCGGTCTCATGGAGGGTTAAATGACCCAAGAGAGTCACTGAATTGAGACACAAATGATGTGTAAAAGTTAGGTGAGAGTAGAGTATTCCAGGCAGTGGGAATAATGAACGCAAGAGCCAGGAAGCTTTCCGAAGCATAGCATGTGTTTGGAAACACAAAAGAGTGAAATACTAGGCAGATGAGGGAAAGAAAACAGTAGCGGACTTGTGCCTGGGTGGGATGTATAACCACCCAATCCCAGTGTCTGAGGGCATCTCATCATTGCCCCCCCGCAGGTCCCTGAGGATTTCATCTCCCGAGAACTGTTTGACACTGTCCAAGTGTACATCATCACCAAGCCTGAGTTACAGAACAAGCTTATCACTGTGTGAGGTCCTGGTGGGGTGGGAGCAGAAGGGTCCCAGACTGGCTTGTGGGCGGGCTGACTCTCCTCTACCCATCCAGCACGGCCATGGAGAAGAAGCTGATTGGCTGCCCTGTGTGCATTGAACATAAGAAGTACAGCCGCAATGCCCTCCTCTTCAACTTGGGCTTCGTGTGTGATGCTCAGGCCAAGACTTGTGCCCTTGAACCCATTGTCAAAAAGCTGGCTGGCTACTTGACCACACTGGAGGTCTGCAACATGATGGGCTTGGGTGCATGGCAGGCACAGCTGGGGAAACGGTTCCCATGTCTCCAATCCCTAGCCTCCGACAGCTAGTTCAGAATGCAGCCAGCTCTGAGTCTACTCAACTATGTTGTCCATGTTCTGTCCAGCTTGAAAGCAGCTTTGTGTCCACAGAGGAGAGCAAGCAGAAGTTGGTACCTATCATGGCCATCTTACTGGAAGAACTAAATGCCACTGGCCGGTGCACTCTACCCATTGGTATGGGCGGCCTCTCTCGGGACAGTATATGAATAGAGGAAGGAGGGGAGAGCACAGAAATGAGTGTAGCCGCTGCAGGAGGACAGGATTCTTGGACAAGTTGGTGGGGAAGAGATAGCTGTGGGTTGAAGCAATGATGTCTGAGAGTTCGGTATTCATGGGGGTGGAGGAGCAGGCAGCAGAATTCTTCAGCACTACTGAAGAAGTATCTTGGCAACATTCTTCCCCCTCTCTGGGCCTTAGTTTCTTGCTCCATAAAAGAGGAAGAATGATCCTCCCAGGACCCACCTGCCTGCCTCAGTTAATGCCCGGAGAGTTAAGAGTTAAGTAGTGGCTGAGGGCCCCTTGGGAAAGATGACACTGAGGATGTGGTGGGGTCCCCACAGATGAATCAAACACCATCCACTTGAAAGTGATTGAGCAGCGGCCTGACCCTCCTGTGGCTCAGGAGTATGATGTGCCCGTCTTTACCAAAGACAAAGAGGATTTCTTCAACTCTCAGTGGGACCTCACCACACAGCAGGTATACGGTATACAGGTCCTCTCTCAAGTATTACCACCTTGGGCCTCCCACAACCTTAGCTTCCGTTCACCCTTGCCGACCTTGCTTTCCTCTTTTCAGATCCTGCCCTACATTGATGGCTTCCGCCATGTCCAAAAGATCTCTGCTGAGGCGGATGTGGAGCTCAACCTGGTGCGCATTGCCATTCAGAACCTGCTGTGAGTGCAGATACAGTTATGCCCACTAGGGGGCCACCAGTCAGAGGGGAGCCAAAGGATCCTGAGTGTGGCGGTGGGAAGGCATGGTGTTTGGAAGCTAAGCGCATCTGTTTCCCCCAGGTACTATGGTGTTGTGACACTGGTCTCCATCCTCCAGGTAGGTGGGACTGGGATATAGTTAAGTAAAATGGGAACCATATGGCCTGGACCAGATCAAGCCAGACCCCCAAGTACATCATTCAGGTCCTTATGCCCCGCTGTGTTCTAGTACTCCAATGTGTACTGCCCGACCCCAAAAGTCCAGGACCTGGTAGATGACAAGTCCCTGCAGGAGGCATGCCTCTCCTACGTCACCAAACAAGGTAGTGGCAAACCCTGTGGGAGACCGATCTGGGGAGGACAGGGCCACCTAGGAAGCTGACTGTGGCACCCACAGGGCACAAAAGGGCCAGTCTCCGAGACGTATTCCAGCTGTACTGCAGTCTGAGCCCTGGCACCACTGTGCGAGACCTCATCGGACGCCACCCCCAGCAGTTGCAGCACGTCGATGAGAGGTCAGAGGGCATTCTCTGGCTTGTGCGCTGGGTTCGACCGTCTTGAGTCCCTAGGGAGGAGCCTCGAGTCTAATAGGAAGCAGGAGATTCCCAATGAGTATAAGTATATGGCCCACTAGTCCAGGCAGCCTTTCTGGAGATGGTGACCTTGGAGGCCACCCTGGCCTGTAAGGCACTGAAGGAAAGGTTGGCTAGGCTGGGGTACCAGCGCTCTTCCCCAACCATCACTTCAGGAAGCTGATCCAGTTTGGGCTTATGAAGAACCTCATCCGGAGACTACAGAAGTATCCAGTTCGAGTGTCTCGGGAGGAACGGAGCCACCCTGCCCGCCTTTACACAGGCTGCCACAGCTATGATGAGATCTGCTGCAAGACAGGTGGAGGCAGGCGGGGCAGGCTGGGTGAGGTGAGGGCTGACTGACCCTGCAAGGCAGCTGACCTTGCCTCCCTCATACCACCAGGCATGAGCTACCACGAACTGGATGAGCGGCTTGAAAACGACCCCAACATCATCATTTGCTGGAAGTGAGGCTAACTGGAGCATATGGCTATGGCTACTTGCCCCTGCTACGCCCTCATTGGTCCACGGGGGCCAGAAAAGTAGGCTAGGACGTATGGTCTGGAGATGATCCTCGGTTCTATGAATCAAGTCATCTCCTTCGTCCTTTGGAGTTTTGAATACTGGCTCAGCCAAGGCTCAGCCAATCACTAAAGATTGTGCTAGTCATGCCGGCTAGCCTGGCCTGGCTGGAGTGCCATCTAGTGGACAGAAGTGACAATGGCCAAGTAAACAGTATGGTTTTGGTTTGGTCTGGTTTGGTTTTTGTCTTATTGCGAGGGGAGTGATTTTTTTGAGACAGGATCTCACTATGTAGCTTTGGCTGTCCTGGGATTCACTGTGTAGCCCAGGCTGGCCCTCAACTCATAGAGCTCTGACTGCTGGGATTAAAGGTGTGCACCACTACACCTAGGCACTCATAAGTTTCTAATATGGTGTTTTTTTGTTTTTTGTTTTTTTTTTGCAGTGGGCTGGGGGGAAAAGTGTGTGTTTTGAGACATCTGTGTAACAGATGACCTTGAACTTCTGAGTCTCCTGTCTCTGGTTCCTGGGTTACACTTACACTCCCACGCCCCGTGTATACCGTGCTGGGTCCAAGTCTTTGTGCATGCTAGGCAAGTCCTCTACCGACTCAGCTATGACCAAAGCTCTGGGCCTGTAAACCAAAAGAGCCAGACTCAGAAGGGACCAAGAGATACTCCGGATTAGAATGCCAAGAAAGACCTTACTTGGGAGACAGAAGCTGGACCTTGCAGGAAGAAGAGTATTCCAGAAGAAATAAGTTCAAAACCCTAAAGCAAGGGCCAAATGTAGTAATGCATTCTTGTAATAACCAACACTCAGGAGGCTGGTGTAGGAGAGTTGCTTCAGGTTCAAGGACAGCTTGGATATATGTGTTTAAAGCCAGCCTGGGTGACATAGTAACACCTACCTCAAAAAACCAAAGGAGTGTATGAGGAACTGAAGCGAAGCCAGTGAGGCTAGGGCAGAGAAACAAGCATGGGGTGCACACCTGAAACCCCAACATTTGGGAAGTTGACCAAGAAGGGGAGATTTGGACCAGCCCTGGCTCTACAGTGAGCTCCAGCTTGGTCTTAGCTGTATAATGAGACCCTGTCTCAAAGAGAGAGGGTGAGGTGCTGGAGAGGTGACTCAGAGGTTAAGATCACTACTGCTCCTGCAGAAGACCGGAGTTTAGTTCCCAGCACCCACGTGGGACAGCTCACAATTGCCTATGACTCCAACTCCAAGGGATTCAATGCCTCTGGCCTCCATGTGTAAGCATTATAGCGCAAATGGAAAGGTATCCTGGCAGCTGAGAGCCAAGGAATACCGCAATCACACCACACAACAGACCTCACACGAGAGATTTATTGGGAGGGGGAAAAAAACCAAGATGTTTGATGTTTTACTCTTGCTCTTTGGGGGACCTGCTACCCAGCTCCAAGTAAACACACAGGGAGACTTTTCCTTCCTTGTGAGTGCCTGGCCTTGGCTTGTTTTGTGCCAGCTTTTCTTAAATTATCCCAACTACCTTTTGCCTCTGGACTTTTTCCTTTTCTTACTTTCACTCTTACTCCATGGCTGGCTGGCTGGCTGGCTGGCTGGGTGGCCCCTGGGGTCCTCCCTTTGTTCTCTCCATTGCTCCTCTTCTTCCTCAGTTTTCCTTCTATTTATACACTCTGCCTGCCAGCCCCGCTTATCCTTGCTCCTGCCTCACTATTGGCCATTCAGCTCTTTATTAGACCATCAAGTATTTTAGACAGGCAAAGAATCACAGCTTTACAGAGTTAAACAAATGCAGCATAAACAAAAGCAAC